ATGCGGCTTGACAGATGTGGGCTGCACGGCTCCACACGCAGTGCACAGCACGCCTCCCCCATCCAAGGCAGAGGGACCACACGCCAAGGCGAGGGTGGAAGCAATGCAGCAGATCACTTGGCCGTGTTTTCAAGTGGAGAAGTCAATGGCATTTATGTGTTTACACACCGGACTAGGTCTTACGTAAGAGAGGACCCTTCCAATAAATTCCACACTTTTCCCCCTTTGGTGCTGGGGATGGAACCCAGGGCCTTGTGCATGCTAAAAACACACCCTGTACCTCTGAGCTTTACCTCAGCCCAGGTGCTTGTTTATTAAGACGGCACACTCTATCCTCAAGTGCTACATAAAATGCTTCGAAATGCTAACTAATTCAAGGGGACCGAAGGCAGATTCATCAGCTGCCTGGGGAAGGAGAAGTGTATTTTGTCTCTGTTACTGGGGTTTGAACTCTGGGCCTTGTGTTCTATCACTTCAGCCATGGCTCCGGGGGCCTTCCTATCAGCACAGTTGGAGAAGTGGCCTTCCTGAGGCGGCTGCAGGCTTTTGAGCACCCTAATGTCGTCCGGCTTATGGACGTCTGTGCCACTTCCCGAACTGACCGAGACATCAAGGTAACCCTAGTGTCGGAACATATAGACCAAGACCTAAGGACATATCTGGACAAGGCACCTCCCCCAGGCCTGCCAGTGGACACCATCAAGGATCTGATGCGCCCATTTCTAAGAGGTCTAGATTTCCTTCATGCCAATTGCATTGTCCACCGAGACCTAAAGCCAGAAAACGTTCGTTCTGGTGACCAGTGGTGGAGCAGTCAAGCTGGCTGACTTGGGCCTGGCCAGGATCTACAGCTATCCGATGGCCTTCACTCCTGTGGTTGTTACTCCTGAAGGTCTTCTTCAGTCTACTTATGCAACACACCTGCCGACATGTGCAGTGTTGGCTGTATCTTTGCAGAGTGTTCCGTCGAAAGCCTCTCTTCTGTGGAAACTCTGAAGCTGACCAGTCGGGGAAAATCTCTGATCTAATTGGGCTGCCCCCGGAGGATGACTGGCCCCGAGATGCATCTCTACCCCGAGGAGCTTTTTCTCCCAGAGGGCCTCGCCCAGTACAGTCGGTGGTGCCAGACATGGAAGAACCTGGAGCGCAGTTGCTGCTGGAAATGCTGGCTTTTAACCCACACCAGCGACTATCTGCCTTCTGAGCCCTGCAGCATTCTTACCTACATGAGGAAGAAGGTGATCCAGAATGAACAGTCAAAAGAGCTGCCGTTTACTCCCTTGTAGACACTGGAGTGGAGAGAATCCCACAGAGAAGCCAAGGCCTCTGCCTTCCTGTGAGCTGCGGAAGCTCCTCCAGCTTTTTACAGAGAATACTTTGTTGCCTTAATGATATTCTCCACATTGCTCCTTCTGAGGCTCATCCCCCCTTCCTTCCATTTCTCTACACTAAGGGGTATATCCCCTCCCTTCTTCCTCTCTATCTTGATAGGAGACCTTTTTTTTATATGGCAAACGAGACTACAGAAATATGGTCGGAAAAAAAAAAAAAGACTCACCATCCCTGGTTTGTTCTTTTGAGATACAGTCTTGCTAATAATTCCAACTATCCACCTACTCCCATCTCAAACCACTCTCCTAACTCTGCTTTCTGAGTAACTGGCTCATGCCCAGTCCAAGGTGAACATATATTTTGTGCCAATACTTGGGCTTAAACTCAAGAGCCGAGGCACTGTTCCTTAGTTGTTTTACACTACGCTGGTGCTCTTGGGCCACAGCTCCATCTCCAGCTTTCTCACGGCTCACTGGAGATAAATAAGAGTTTCTTGAACTTTTCCTGCCTGGGCTGGCTTGGAACCATGATCCTCGGATCACAGCCCCCAGAGAAGCTAGGATGACAGGTGTGAGCCACTAGCACATGGCTCCAAGGCAAACATTTTTCAATGCACTCGTCGGTACTTTGAATTTAAAGTACACCTTTGGATTTAAAGCCAATAATCATCAGTTGCTAGGTGACAACTTAGTCCTAATTTTAACTCAGTTACCCATTTGGAAAGTTTCCTTTAACATGTCTAAACAAAGCACCATGTTCAACAGTTTTCTGTCCAAAGGGGAATGTTATCTACATCTAGAATTTTCTTTTTATTAATTAGCACATATTAATTGTACAAAGATTTCATTGTAGTATTTCCACATATGCATATAATATAGTCTGATCAAATTCAATCCATTTACTTTTACTATTTCAAAATTCAGATAGAAATAGTTTTAAGAAAGTTACAACACCCAAGTATGTTATTTAAATATGTTTGGAAATAGGTGTTTGAATTAACTACTTGGTTTTTATGTCTCATTAGGCACTGTTACTTAAGGAATTAAATTCTACTTAAACCCCATAATAGTTCTGTACATACTTTGTTTAAAGGAAAGTGAGCATAGACAATGCCAAATAGGGCTCTAAGTTATGGTTCCCATCTGTCCCACTGAGCGCTGGTGGCTCATGCCTATAATCCTAGCTACTAAGGAGGCTGAGATCTAAGGATCAAGGTTCAAAACCAGCTAAGGCAAAAAATTCTGTGAGACTCTTATCTCCAATTAGCCACAAAAAAAAAACTGAAGTGGAGGTGTGGCTCAAATGGTAGAGTGCCAACCTTGCATGAAAAATATAAGAAAACCAGCCAGACACCGGTGGCTCATACTTATAATCCTAGCTACTCAGGAGGCTGAGATCTGAGGATCTCAGTTTGAAGCTGGCTGGGGCAAAAAAGTCCCCTGAGATTCTTATCTCCAATTAGCCACCAGAAAATCAGAAGTGGTGCTGTGGCTCAATTGGTAGATCACTAACCTTGGGCACAAAGAGAATCAGAGACAGTGCCCAGGCCCTGAGTTCAAGCTCCACAACTGACAAAAAGGGGAAAAAAAAGAAAAAGGTAAGAAAGGGTCTGAGTTCAAGCCCCGGTATATTCTCTCTCTCTGTCTCTCTGTCTCTCTTGTCTCTCTCTCTCTCTCTCTCTCTCTCTCTCATACACATACACACATACACACACACACACACACACACAATTGAAATAAATGTTTGACTCCATTTCTTAGAATTTACTTTCTTCTGAAAGAATGCATTCATTCTGTCAAAAAAGGACATATAGACACTTTAGGCAGAAAAATGCAAAAACACGGTACAGAATTCTTTCTACCTGAAAATAATAAGCCCCAAATTTGAAGTACCTGCAAATACTCTTTTTCTTCCTGCACATAAAAGCACTGTGTCCCTAATTTAATTCCCTTGAGAATCATTTAAGTACCTGCTGACAATGAAAGTTTATAGGAACAGTCAGCTTGTTCCTTTCATGTCTTGGCGCAGTACAAATACCTGCTGTCTGCATTTGTGATGTCACTGCCCGAAAACACAGCAGGCTGCCACCTTTGTATCACCATTAGAGAATAACATACATCTTCCTCATCTGGACCACAAATAGTTTATTTCTTCCTCTTTGCAAAGAGAAAAACTTACTCTATACTGCCCAGGAAACAATGGAAGCATTCAAACTCACTTCATAATCCCAAACCTTACTAACCAGAGGAAATAAAATAAGGAACCCTGCAATTGTATTAGGTGGCCAGGCTCAACCTTGGCCAAGGTAAATAGCCCTTAGGTTCTGTATCCACAAGCAACCTCAGATTGGAAATATTTGGTAAAGTACATGGTGCCTCTGTTTTCTTATCATCATTCCCTAAGTAACTCAGAAAAAGAACTACTGACATACACACCATTCACACTGCGTTAGGTATAAGTCATCTAGACACGATTTTTAATGCAGAGAGGAGGATTTGCCCTGATTCCATGCAAATAAAACGTTTTATACAAGGGGCTGGAGCATTATAGATTGTGGTATCTCTCTCTCTCTCTCTCATACACATACACACATACACACACACACACACACACACAATTGAAATAAATGTTTGACTCCATTTCTTAGAATTTACTTTCTTCTGAAAGAATGCATTCATTCTGTCAAAAAAGGACATATAGACACTTTAGGCAGAAAAATGCAAAAACACGGTACAGAATTCTTTCTACCTGAAAATAATAAGCCCCAAATTTGAAGTACCTGCAAATACTCTTTTTCTTCCTGCACATAAAAGCACTGTGTCCCTAATTTAATTCCCTTGAGAATCATTTAAGTACCTGCTGACAATGAAAGTTTATAGGAACAGTCAGCTTGTTCCTTTCATGTCTTGGCGCAGTACAAATACCTGCTGTCTGCATTTGTGATGTCACTGCCCGAAAACACAGCAGGCTGCCACCTTTGTATCACCATTAGAGAATAACATACATCTTCCTCATCTGGACCACAAATAGTTTATTTCTTCCTCTTTGCAAAGAGAAAAACTTACTCTATACTGCCCAGGAAACAATGGAAGCATTCAAACTCACTTCATAATCCCAAACCTTACTAACCAGAGGAAATAAAATAAGGAACCCTGCAATTGTATTAGGTGGCCAGGCTCAACCTTGGCCAAGGTAAATAGCCCTTAGGTTCTGTATCCACAAGCAACCTCAGATTGGAAATATTTGGTAAAGTACATGGTGCCTCTGTTTTCTTATCATCATTCCCTAAGTAACTCAGAAAAAGAACTACTGACATACACACCATTCACACTGCGTTAGGTATAAGTCATCTAGACACGATTTTTAATGCAGAGAGGAGGATTTGCCCTGATTCCATGCAAATAAAACGTTTTATACAAGGGGCTGGAGCATTATAGATTGTGGTATCTTACAAAGAGGAACGTAAGACCAATCCCCGAAGGGTTTAGAATAATGGCTGTGATTCTAAGTACAGGGGGGGAGAGGGAGAGAGAGAGAGAGAGAGAGAGAGAGAGAAACTTGGTCCAAATCAGATTACCACAGTGGTCTGGGTAAACCAGTTAACCCTCACATTTTACATTCTCCTCCCTTCTTGTCTTGATAAACATGGAAAAGGGTTCACACCTTACCTTTTGACCACCAGCTTGAGGGTCTTATGGGACCCTTTCACCAGGCAAATCGCTTCCTGTCTGAACCCTGAAAGGCCAATGTCATTGATGCCCACAATCTCATCTCCAGCCAGTAGCTTGTCCACAGCCGCGGCTTTACTGCCTTCTTCGATCTGCAACACACAAGGGGGTTCCATGAGCTTCCCAAATGAGCGAATCATCCCTGAGTTGATTCAAGTCCCTCCAGCAACAGGCAAGCAGGAATAGAAAGCCAGGTCTTGGGAAGCTCCTGGGGCCTTGGGTGGGCTGCAGGTGTGAACGGCCCAGCAAGCTTGCCCTGAAGGCTGGTTTGCTACCATGTCGGGGCCAGAGGTGCAATAGCACCCTACTTGTTCCCCCAAGGACCGCCCGGGGCTGCCGCTCACCGCAGACAGAAAGAGGAGCCGCAGAAACGCACACAACTGAAAACATTACATTCAAAACTGCTGCTTCATTTTCTGGATGTTCTTGATCCCAAGCATACAAGGGGACCATTTTTATGATCAATCCTATACCAAGGTTTTATAATAATTTCATTAGTTATTACTATAGTTCAAACAGTATACAGTTACTCACAGAAGGCATGCAATTTTTTTTCTGTGGTGTTCGGGATATTCATGGAGTTTGGTATATTCCAGAACATTGTCCCAACCCTCCCCTTCCAAAACATCATGCCCAATTCGTAGCCATTTTTCAGTCCTGTCAGCTTCTGGAAATCTCTAATGAACTTCTCCTTTTCCTCCTCTCCCCTCTCCTTCTTCTGGGCAGGGTCTTGCTATATATCCTAGGCCCAACTTAAACTCACAATCCTCCTGCTTCAACTTCCCCAATGCCAGAATTAAAGGCATGCGTCACCATGCCCAGCTCGAACTCACTTTCTATGCCTACAGATTTGCCTAGTTTGAAAAGTTCACATAAATGTAACCATACAATAGGTGGCCTTTTCTATCTGGCTTCTTTGGCTTAGCCAAAGAAGCTGTCAGGAGTCAACTATGTCACAGCCTGAGTTCACTGCATCCCTTTTCTTATGGCTGAATAACATTCCATGGTATGGATGGACCACGTTTTTGTTTTTTTGGTGCCAGTTCTTGGGCTTGAATTCAGGACCTGGGTGCTGTCCCTGAGCTTTTTTGCTCAAGGCTAGCACGCTATTACTTGAACCACAGCTCCACTTCTGGCTTTGTGGTTAATTAGAACTATGTTTCACAGACTTTCCTGCCCGAGCTGGTTTGAACCGTGGGCTCAGATCTCAGTCTCCTGAGGAACTCGGTTTGCCCTCATGAACCACCAGTTAACCGGCTGCAGTTTTTGAAGCCACATTTCCTCAGAGTGACACATTATCTGTGTCTGACTCAGCCATGACAGGTGGGTTTTACCTTCTCCTTCCCGTAAACACTGTGGAACTACTCCTACAGAGAGCTGTGACCTAAGCCCTCCACCTTCACGAGGAAAGATTGTGCCAGGGAAGCTCTCATCCGCCAGGACTCCTAAAACCCTTCCTCTACAAAGACAGGCAGCGCGCCCCAACACCCGTCTACGCCGGCAGAAAACATGTGTTTGGGTTTGAAAGCTAGAACAATTTTCTTGGCTTCCTCTCCAAGAGACTGCCTGCCCAGGATATTTACTGTGCTTTATTGGGAAAGTAGTCAGAAAAGAAAAAGCTTTAAAAACTTCCATGGTATAGTCCTAACTTATCTAACATCGCAAATTCAGTTGAATTTATCAGGCTTGAACTTGAGAAAAACCAATCTAAAGTTGGCTCCAGTTTTCCAAGAACAATAGCCATGATCGTATGGAAGTGCCACCATGCATCTCAGCCACAGCACTGTCCACAGAGGCACAGACAAAACTTTTCTTCTTCGGTATGAACTGGTATTCTTTCCGGAAAAAAAAAAAACAAAACCATTCCTCTGGACCCAAGTGGGAGGTAAAACATCCTACAATGTACACAATGTGTCACTGGCTTGTCGTTTTGTGTTGTTTTTGTTCCGGTACTAGGACTTGAACTCCGGGTCTAGGCACTATCCCGTAACTTGTTCACTCAAGGCTGGTTTTCTACCACTTGAGCCACAGCTCTACTTTCAGCGTTTTGCTGGTTCATTGGAGATAAAGAGTCTCACAGACTTTGCTGCCCAGGCTGACTTTGAACTGCTATCCTCAGATCTCAGCCTCCTCGTGCATAGCTAAGATTACCAAGGCCTGTGGGTCACCAGCTGCCATGTCACCATTCTCATGAAAGTAAGTTCTCGGAAATGGTAGGGGGAAAGCAAACAGTCAGTGATTTGCCAGAACAATTTTTATTCTTGTGCTTCATGAGACACGCACTAGAGACCATCAAGAACGAAGACCCACTAAAGCACAAGAATGTGGACTCCCTAGGCAGCAGACACGATCCTGGATCCTGGATCCTGGGTGGAATTCCACCCAGTGAAGCGTGCGTGTGAAGCGCTGGCCGGGGAGATGGAGATGAAAAGAGCTTTGCAAACAGAAAGCACCACAAGATCAACCTGAAAGGAAGAGCACGGCTTGGGAAGACAGCCCAGAGAGCTCTTGCTATGGAGAAGGGCAGGGCAGGAAGCCGAGGCGGGTCCGCCCCATTAGTCAGCCAGCAGAGTGTAAAGTGGGGATGGGCGTGTGGGAAGAGAAGAGCAGAAAGCTAGAAGACTGTGAACTTGGTCTGGAGGCAGAATTCAGATCATGTAGGGAGAGGGGGTGGACTGAGAGCAGCCAAAGAGGAAAAGAGCGAAATGAACAGGAAAGTAACTGCTTCTGGGTGATTAGCCGTCTAGTTACACTCAGAATGAATTTCTTCAGCAACCTCCCACGCCCACCACACACACACACGCAGCAAAATGGTACCAGATGGGTGTGTCACAGCGGGAAACTCTTGTAATCCCCTGCACTTGGGAGGCTGAGGCAAGGAAGACCGTCAGCTCCATGCTGGCCTGAGCTACAGAGTGAGTCGAAGGCAAACCTTAGATATATAAGATCCTGTCTCAAGAAAAACAAAACCAAAAGAGTAAGAAGCCTAGCCTCATAGGTACCAACCTGTAAGTCTCTGCTGCAGCCCTTCCAACAGAAGGAAACAAGGGTCTGAACCAAGAGTTAAGTAGCAAGAGACAAGTAGAGGGAGATCAATGACTGCAGCAGCTACGGTGATTTGAACTCAGGGCTTCATGATCTCCCTTAGCTTTTTTCTTTCCAAGTTCTTTATTGTGATTAAGTGATTACATAATTTCCCAAATTTCACAGTTATTGTGGGATAGTGATGCTTAGTTAAAGTCACAAACACATTCTAACTTTCACGTACAATTCTAGGCAAAAAAAGAAAAAAAAGAAAACATGGGAAGCCGGGCGCTGGTGGCTCACGCCTGTCATCCTAGCTACTCAGGAGGCTGAGATCTGAGGATCGCGGTTCAAAGCCAGCCTGGGCAGGAAAGACCGTGAGACTCCTATCTCTAATAAACCACCAGAAAACCGGAAGTGGCGCTGTAGCTCAAGTGGTAGAGCGCTCGCCTTGAGCTGAAGAGCTGAGGGACAGTGCCCAGGCCCAGAGTTCAAGCCCCACGACCGACAAAAAAAAAAAAAAGAAAACATGGGAGCGATCTCGATGCCGGACTTCAAAATCTACTATAGAGCCATACTAACAAAGACAGCATGGTACCAGCACAAGAACAGTCCCTTAGCTTTTTAACTCAGAGCTGGCACTCTACTACTTGAGCCACACCTCTGCTTCTTGCTTTTTGCTGGTTAATTGGAAACAGGAGTCTCATAGTCTTTCCTGTGCTGGCTTCAAAATTCCACCTTCAGATCCCAACCTCCTGAGTAGAGGCATGAGCACAGGATTATAGGCATGAGCCACCAGCACCCAACAGTGCTGAGACTTCACGCATGAGGGAATTAGAACAATCACAGTGACCAGAGTTACAAAGACAGGAGAAAGAACAATCGGGTTATTTTGTAAGTCTGATGTCATACTTCAAAGTCCATGAATCATGCCCTCCGTTTATCAATTGTAGCCATCTCATCCTTCCAGAAACCAGCCTCGCTGCATGACCAAGCCATACCTTTGGTTAGACGGGACAATTGTCAAGTCACTTCCTTGCTCTGCTTAATTGAACTCTCTCAGTCATTCTACTGGGGCTCCAATCCTTTGGAAAGAAAGCCTGGCTCACCCAGGGCAAGCATGCGTTGGGAAACACCAAAGTCTTCTGCCCTACATGGAGCTCTGAGCGCCTGAGATAACAAGGAAGCCCGCAGGAATGGAAAGCTACCACCCTGGTGTGTCCAGAGCCAACACAAGAATTCCTCCCCAATAACCCCAACTGCAGGTCCCAGCAACTTGGGAGTCGGGAGGAAAGGCCAGGGGCGGGCAGTAGCCAGGCACTGAGGAGGCACAAAGACTCTGAGTCCATGGGCACCTGCAGAGGAAGACGAAGACAGGCAAGAGGAAGACTGGCTCCACCCAAGGGGTGGCCAAGAAAGAGCCCAGGAGACAAGCGAGACCTCAGCCTCCCCTGCCCCGCGCAGGCAGAAAGGAAGCCTAAAAGGACAACAGCAGAAAACAAATCTTCAGAAAGGAAGGTCTAAATAACAGGAAAGCCAAGGGTAAAAGCTCTATCAGAGCCAGGGGCCAGAGCTCCATGGCCTATAATCCTAGCTACTCAGGGGGCTGAGATCTGTGGATCCTAGTTCAAAGCCAGCCAGGGCAGGGAAGTCCATGAGACTCTTCTCTCCCATTGACCACCAAAAAAGGCACAGTGGAGTTGTGGCTCAACTGGTAGAAGGTTAGCCTTGAGCAAACAGCTCGGGGACAGTGCCCAGACCCAGTGTTCAAGCCCCAGGATTGGCATGAAAAAAAAGGTTGGGTCACACTTAGTTCTAAGACACAGAAACTCAAAAGTGAACCTTCACAAAGAGACAGAGAGATGAATGAGAGGTCTAAAAGGAAGACTAGGTCAGGCACTAGTGGCTCACACCTGTAATCCTAACTACTCAGGAGGCTGAGATCTGAGGATTGTAGTTCAAAGCCCAACCAGGAAGGAAAACCCATGAGATTCTTAATGACGATTAACCACCAGAAAAGCTGGAAAGTATGGAATTGAACTCCAAGAAATGGAAACAAGAGGTTTTT